TAAATAAACCCTCGGCTAACAGTATCCAGTCCTAGCGGAGGTCAAACTCCGTTGACCGAAGGCCATTTTCCCATTAGCAGCGAGCGAGAGGAGAGATTGAAACCACAGGAAACACAAACACCCCAACTCTCTGATTTCCTCCGCCCGATTTCCAGTACTCTCCGCCGTAAAAAATCAATTCTTTCGAGAAACCCATCTCGCAATGTCTGCTGGATTGGTTTCCCAGTTCAAGGAAGCGACACAAACGGCAAGGGCCACGCTTCGGCCATGGGGTGAGCTCCTGGAGCCCACCGCCCTCAGCCTCCCCTCCGGTCTATCTGACGCGACGACCCGACTCGCCCAGAACTTGACCCACTTCCGCTCCAACTACGCCCTGATCGCCCTGATCGTGCTCTTCCTCAGCCTCCTCTACCACCCATTCTCCATCATCGTCTTCTTGATCGTCTTCGCCGCCTGGCTCGTGCTCTACTTCTCGCGTGACCAGCCCCTCGAGGTGTTCGGGTTTGTGGTCCCGGACCGAGTCGTGATGGTTGTTCTTGCGGTGGTGACGGTTGTGGCTCTGGTCCTGACTCACGTGTGGGTCAACGTCGTCGTTTCGGGGGTGATTGGGGTCGTTTTGATTGGGCTGCATGCGGTGTTTAGGGGGACGGAGGATCTTGTTATGGACGATCAGGAATCGCCGTATGGGGCTCTGCTCTCGGATGATGCTGACCCAAGTGGGAATTACACCATTATGTGACTGTTTCTCTCCAAATTTTATAAGGTGGGTTGGATTTTGGTTTCCCTTTTTCTTCTAGGCTTTGTTGAAATTCAATTTTGAAATTTTGTTGGGTTTTGGTTGGAATTTTGGGTTTTAATTGCTTACAAGAGGGAAGTATAGGGCTTTAATTGATATCCTTCAATTTGATTACTTCATTGTTATTTGCGCTATTCATCTGTTTTTGGAATTTAATTTCGTGTTTATGGTAATTCTTGATTGACTGTATCCAATGTGATTTGCCTCCATTCATGCATTCCCAGTTGCAGAAAATTGCATTGTTGCAGTTGCGTTCGTAATCCAATTAACATTTTTGCTAGGCATAATGTGTGGCACGATGATACCTTATACCGCATTCATACTGCAATGCTGATATGTGTGTCACTGGCATATAAATCGTGTACAGAATATGTAAACATGTTCTTCGTCGTACTTATGCAGCCTTTTCATGCAACTTATACTTTTCTGATTGCATCAAAACATTCGGAACTTTGTTTATTTAAGTTGAATATATACCCATAGTTGGAAAATTTTATGTATGAATAATTGACAAACATTTACCTATGAATAATTGACAAACATTTACCTATGAATAATTGGCAAACATTTACGTTTCTGTCAACGGTGTCTTTTAAAAGAATGGGCCCTATTTGAAGATTATGTGATTTTACTCACTATGTACCCCTTATAACTCTTTGCATGTCCTTAGTTCAAATCTTGGTTTGCTACATAGCATTGAAGTTCCTAATCATGTGAACATTTGGCGGTCCATAAATGGGGGTAAGGCTAGCCGACATTCACCTCTCCCAGACCCTGCGTAAAGCGGAAGCCTTGTGCACTGGGTACGACCTTTTGAGTCCTTTCTGTCTCGGGGAAATGTATCTTGCATAATTTCCTTTCCTTTGGTGTGTTGTGGTAGCCATTTACCAAATAGAGTAACATTGCAGCACTTGGGAATTAATTTGTCTATGCCGTATGCTTTATCACACATACGTGGGACCGTGACATGATTATAAATATGAAAATCCTCTATCAAGAGTTGTCAGGATTGAATTGAGCTGTATGATTTTTACCCAAACTTGCATTTTTTTCTGTTCTGATATTGACCCGAGTCTATTTTGTGCATATGACGTTGTGACGTTATATGTAACAGCAGTTCTTGTTTGAACGTTTTATGTCAAGTATTGGCTCCCCATGAACTGGAGATGGTGCTAATGCATTTTTGCTTGTTTATATGTATTTCCCATGTATGCAATGCAGATGGTAGCATTTCTTTGTTCTTCGATCAGGTACCTGTGTCTCAGACAAGCCTCCGATGGGGGTCAACCTCTAACCAACAGATCCAGTTGTGATGTCGTTCTTCCTTCAGAAGTCTGAAATTGTGTATCCACCACCGTAGTTGATGTTCGGCACTTCTTCCCGATTCAGATCACATTTTTGGGGTTGTATATACCATTGTTTTCTCATGGTAAATCATGGGTCGCATTGTCGGACGGTGCCATCGTGGTATACATTGGAACCTTGCAAATTGTGAAAGTTTAACTGCAAATTTTTGTAGTAATCGTTTATGTATGCTGTGGTGATTACTTTTCATTTTCATACGTATTGTAAGTGTATTTTGTAGGAAACAAGTTCAGACGATCTGCTATATGTACTTGAGTCAAAATTAGAAATAAACCAAAAGGACTATTTTTATCACAGATAGTCTTTGAAATTGATCTACCCCATCAAAATAGTTATTGAATTAGAAAACCAATTACTGTCATTCCTGAAATTTACTACCGAACATTAATGTCACCCTTCCTGTTCAATTTTGTCAATTTTTGTATGCTGATGTGGCACACGTGTAACCTTACCTCTCCTGATGTGGCACTCGTTTAAACCTTACCACTCCAATGATATGATGCCACGTGGATTTTACAAAAGAAAGTTTAAAAAGTATTTAAAAAAAATTATTTGTTTTCATTCTCAAGATATTTACAAGAATACCCACAAAAAATGAAGAAGGAACTACTTATTGATAAGATTCCAAACGAACGTATCTCTATTTTTACACCTGGTTGGAAAAAGAAGCATGAGCAGTATGTATTCTAAATTCTTTATTAAATTTTTTCCAAGAAATCTAACATTATATATACCTTTAATATATAAGTAGCGCATGAAAAAGGCTGTAGCTGTAGAAGAATTAAAGCCTTCAACAACTCCTCACATAATAAGTATTTGGAATAAAGTCCAACAAATTAGGTACAACACCATTTCTTACCTATTTATTTTAATGGCATTCTCTATTTTACAAATTAATTACCACAAATTATAAAATTAAAAAAAAATTCTACAAATTAATTAACTCAAATTAAAAAATTAAAAAAAAACAATTTATGGGTGCAAGAAAAAGATTAATAGTGACCAAACAACATTTCCAAATACGGTAACTCTTCTCTTATTTCCATACAGAAGTATACTATAAATTCAAATTGCATTCAACTTTCAAATAGAAATAAAATTGCATTTTTATCAATTTTACAAACATCACACCCGTCTCAAAGTACAAACGTTAAAGTACAAGCTTAAGGTAACATTTCTTACTATTTAATTTTGTAAACATGATTACAATTTGTTACCTCAAACTTGACAAATTATTTATCTTTCAGTATTCTAAAAGTAACTAGAGTAAAAGTATTGCTATGGGAAAATTGTCAAAATTGAAGGTATTTAGGTTAAATTGCTTACAACCTTTATATTTAGGATTGTGCATTATAGTGCATTATTCCCATCTTAATCAGTTAGACTTCTTATTTTATCATCATTGCTTGCAGATTAACCATGAAAATCTAAAGCATCAAGTGCAAGCAAATGGATGGCAAGCATGGCTTTGATTTCACATGTAGATGCTATGTTTACATATGTATATATTGTCCATATTTTGCTTTGCTTCATATATTAGGAGTTCATTTCTAGCTAGCCTATAACTTTGACTGAAAACTTATGAATCTGGAAATTTTGATTTAAGGACATTAAATGTTATCATCATGTATTTAGAAATGAAATTACATGTCATATTTTCAGATTTTTGGAATAGTTTATGTTTTCCCATTTATCTTCGTTGTTGTTTTAAAGGAAAATAGTACAAAATTGTATGAGAGATTAGTAAAAAACCATAACTAAACAAAAAATTGTATTAAAAAATAAATATCTAGATAAGTGTGCTCAAACTATTTCTGTAGTGAGAAACCAATTGAAAAAGGATAATATAAAAATTTGAAAAAGAAAACGGAAAACTTAAAAAAAGAGAGGTTTGGGGGGGGGGGGACGAGGTTACGTGTTGAACCTTCAAAGACTATATGTGTTGAACCTTCAAAGACTACGAAGAATAAGCACAAACCAGTTAGCAGTTTGCTTCGTAGGAATCCCACGATCACATCTCAGCTTAGTGGGAGGTTCAACTATAACTACCCATGTGCCAAATTTGTTTTTAGAGATGAATAATTGGAAGGAAACCGATTTTCGTTTTCAGTTTACTATGTGGATCATCTGTTTATGTTTACATACTATTGTTCATGGACCTTAGCTAGGAAGTTGCATCTAAAATTCCATGTTGATTGACGATTGCATGAATAACATATAAATCATTACTTTATGCAAAGTAAAAAAAAAAAAATGACAAATGTTTAATAGTCCATGATAAAGAAAACCTGATAGTGGTTCTTTATCCCACCAAAGAAATTACCCCACTAATGTGTTTTAAAACTGTGTGGTGCATGACACCCGTGATTAGAGAAAATTAAGGTTTGTATGTGCATTAATTATAAAACTTGGTTATAATAATCATTGTAACACAACTGTAGAGAAAAAAAATCATAAGGAAATTATTGAAAAAAAAAATAATAATAAAAATTGTTATGATGTATGCAAACATACAATCTACAAAATAATCACTTAAGAATATCTAAAGCAACACATCTTTGAAGAGCGTAACATCCGTGATGCAAAAATGTCTCTCGCATGAGCGTGAGTGCGTGTAAAGAAGTTAGTAAACATAAAGAAAGAAAGCAAAAAGAAGGAAGTTTTCATAATATCCAAATTGCTTTTTTCCTATTAAAATTAAAAAAAAAAATGAATTCATGAAAAAACCCATGTACTAAAAATTAATAACAAGGAAAATATAAAAACAATACATACATTTTATCAAATAAAAAATAATAATAAAATAAAAAAAGTGTGGCAAGAGGCTAGTATTTACTCTGAAAACGGAAAAGCATTTAAAATAGTTTCTACAATTTCCCTCCTTTCTTCTGTCAGACTCAGAGAAACAATGGAGCCCTTAGCTCTCAACCTGAAAATGCTCCGAGGCCCGGGGTTTCATAATTGGAACGGCGACACCCGGCACTTCCGACCCGGATCCAAGGTCCGAATTGGCCGCGACGGCCGCTGCAACAACATCCCGATCAAAGACTCCGGCATTTCTTCCAAGCACCTCTCCATCGAGTCCGAATCGGGCAAATGGGTGCTCCGAGACCTTGACTCCTCAAACGGAACCCTTTTGAATGGCACCAATGTCCCCCCAAACACGCCGCTGGATCTCAGCCACGGCGACGAAATCAAAATCGGCGAGTGCACTTCCATTGAGGTTAAGATCGATGGCTACGAAGAGAGCCGGCTGAGACGGAACCCGAGGCGTGTCGAGGAAATTGAGGTCAAGGGGAATCAGAGGAGGGGTCGACCGCCCAAAGCTAGGGTTTTGAAGAGTGAGGTTGCGGAGGAGAAGCCTGTGGAGGAAAAATTGACACGGCAAGTGAGTGTGAGGCAAACTCGGATCACGAAGAATGAGGAATTGGGGAAGATTGCAGAGAGCTGTTGTGTAGACGCTGAAGGATTGCCGAAAAGGACACGTGGTGGTGCAAGGAGGGGGAAGAATGTACCAAAAGAGCAACCGGTGTGCTATAAACTTGACAATGAAGCTTCAAAAGCGGTGAAATTGGAGGAAGAGAGACATGAGGAGGCGGATAGAGAGTTCAGCGTTGGAGAAGAGAGTGGTGGAAAAGGTGAAAGTGGAAGTGGGAATGGCGAAAAGGTTGAAAATGGAAGCGGGAATCGCATTAAGGGCGACAATGGAAGTGGGAGTGGTTCGGGTGTTAATGTGAGCTGTGACTTGGAGAAGATGACGCTCGGGGAGTGGTTTGGGTTTTTGGAGAGGCATTTGCCAAAACAGATCATTGGTGAGACGGAGGAGGCACTTGCGGAAATGACAGAGAAAGCAAAGAGAATTCGGGAGTACATTGCGCAGGAGAAGAAGTGAATGTGCTCGTGGGCTAAACGGGATAAGCTGGGAGGATGAGCGCCTTGTGTTCTGTGGTAATTTTGCAGCTCAATTCCTCTGTATTCGTATGAATTACTTGGCGTATGAAATCTGTACTGTGTACTTTCATCATGTATATGTCGTTTCATATTCATGCTAAAGTTATTTAGTCTTGATTTTGAAGCCTTAGATATGATATTAAAGACTAATCCATTGAATTTTAGGGATATGAGATAAAACTAATTTTATTTCTGTTGTCAGCATCTTTCATATTGACGGGGGTGGTTTAGCACTGGTAACTCTATCAACCGTTCTACCCGTTACCTATTCCTGATAGAAAAAGTTGTCCGGTTTTGGGTCTAAATGAGGCATCATCCATCTTTGACAGCTATGTTCTGTTTTGTCGCTCTCCATCCATATGGAGGAGCTACTGGTTTATGCAGTACCGCTGCTCTTGAGAATTGATCTTTTTATGTCGTATGATTTAGGCAATATCACACGTACAAAGGGCAGTGACATGATTTTTTTTAACCTCGAGAAATAATCGATGAATTAATTCTCTATCAGGATTGAATTGAGCCGAGTGCTTTTTACCCAAAACATGCATTTTTTACATATATGAATGCTTTGGATAAATACACATCTGGCTTGGAAATGTCCTAGGCTGATCATTTGCTGCTGCTTGATTGCTAGTTATTACGGTTGAATTTGTTTCCAGGATATGTAAGAGTTTGGTACCTACTTCACATTCTGGAAAAAAAAAAATGATTGTAATCACTAGCAATCACTTATTGTTGTTTCTTGAGTTGTTTATTGTTAATCGTAGTTCTCAAACTGGTGCCATTGGATGTATGCTGTCATACGCCGGTTATATCTGATTTTGCAGTGAATGAAGAAAACACAATCGCAGGTATGGAATTTTGAAATAATTTATAATCATCTTAGTTTTGGCTGTTAGTCAGGAAGGGTTGTAATATGACCTTCCAGTATTGGCCCCCAAGTCTATTTTGTTAATTTGATCTGTTGACATGTTATGCTTACCGTATTTCTTGTTTCAACATTTTAGGTCAAGTGTTCCCATGAGTGGCGATTGAGCTAATGCATTCTCGCTCATTTTTATGTATATTTTCAATGTATGCATTGCAGGTGGTGGCATTTCTTCATTCTTCATCCGGCAGATCCAGTTTGAGATGCTGCGCCTTGCTTCTGAAGTCTGCAATTGTTCACGCACTCTACTTGTTCAGCTTCTAACGGAGAAACTTGTATACATCAGTGCTTTCTCATGGTAAATGTGGAACAAATGGGTACAGAGTAGGTAGCTGTATCGGTTCATGCATTGTAAAAGCATGTAAGTTGTGTACTGCAATTTTCTGGGTAATCATGTGCGATGCTAGCTCCTTTTCATTAGTGGTGAAAATTGAGAAAAAACCATTCATCAGTTTGTCCATGGGCACTGGGGCTCCCCAGTTTTAACATTTACGGAATATTCACATTCGTATTCCCAAATGTCCGCCATTCGCATTATCTGCTCGTTCAAAGTAGATGTAAGATTCCAGTTAACATTTAAGCCCTTCTGAAATTATCAGAAAGGAGGAAAAGAAATGTTTTAGGTATATTCCTATTAACCGATATTGCGCCAAGAGTTATAATTTAAACCAGCTTCATCTGTTTTGAAAATCTATTGTTTTTCGACGAGAGAATTCTACAAAAACTTAGAAACCATGATACAGAGTTACGATCCTAAAGAACAGATCCTGTTCAAGTATAACTCGAAAACCTGCTTAGAGTAAGAAGTACCGGGAACACCACACTGCAAGCAAAGCAAGTATATGCACGCGGGGATGAAAAGAAAGAACAAATGAATTTTCATGCGGAGAACAACACGGTGAAGGCAGCTCAGACTGCCGTTGCCTGGACTGATCACTTTCACAGAATTGTGACTACAGGAATAGCTAAAGCTACCGAGGCAGCATTTTTCGACCATACATGAGGGGCATCACGTATTCCTTTGCAGAGCTTCCTATGGAGATCTGAATGCTTTGTGAAGCCGGTGTTGTCTGTAACCACAAGTCGACTAAGTTATGCAGCTGCAATGTCGGAACTATTGGGTTACCGCGCAATGTGACCTCCACCTGCATTAGGCATCAAGTGAAACTCAGTATCAAATTTAGGCACACTTCATGAATTTAAAAAGTCTGTTTAGCATAATAATTTTGCTGGTCTGCACAGATAAATCGTGTTTGTGCTTAGTGTTCAAATCAACTGAGTTTTCGCATGTTTATCATCAAGTTTAGTTTCAAATGTCACTATCAGATATAAACAATTCATGAATTTAGTGCTTTCTCCTGCTCGCCACAAGTATATGTACCAAGGCAGATTATCACCAAAGCAAATTACCCAAAATCTCAAGTGAACAGTATGCAGTGATGGACAAATCGAATATCTCTGATTCACTTCTTTTCTTTTCTTTTCGAGAAATAAAACGGATAAATTTGGTTTTGTTGCAGGACAATGTATCTTCATTTTCGATATAAGAAAAACGCTTCTCCTCTCCTTTTCTTCACCATCTAAGTTCTAAGTTTCATACATGCACAAAAAGTAGTAACTGAAAAGGGACAAAGATGATGTTACCTCATCCTCGCTGGTAAGATTCAGCTTTTTGACCAGATACTTTTTTATGAAAGAAGCAGGTATGCTACCATCCCTAGAGAATTTCGAGAAACAAAACCGAATTTAGTGTCTGCCCTGCAAGATATTACACAAAAAAAAGTACACTAGACAATGCCGGAAAATGGTAAGAGAGCATTTTCATCTAATGGTCAGTTCAGTCCCACAGGATTAATTTTGTATACTCCTGCCATGTATAATCCCTGAGTGGTCTCCAAGAAAAGGGGGCATGAGAAAAAAGAAGGGCACATGCATTCTTCAAACAAGTCTGAAAAATATTCCTAAACAACGATCCATGGAAAGCCAGTACAGTTGTGTAACAACTAAAAATGGAAAGGATATTTCTTTTGTCCTTCGAAAACATGTGGCATCTGGAAAATGATATATTTTGTAAAAGCCTAAAAAGCTTCATGAATGCATATCATATGTTGCAGAATTGCAGTAACAAAAGATTGCAGTAGAAACAAATTTCATTTTTTGTGATACCAGAGCAGTATCTTCATGTTATCTAAACACCATAGGAAGCCTCTTAGATATTGAGTTGAGCATATCATGAATCACGAGCGAAAAATCAAATTGCTTGTAAGATATGATCTATTGCCATGAACTTTGCATCGAGACTGAAAAATTCATGGTGCAGGGAAAGATACAATTAAACAACAAGACTTCCATTCCGACAACCAAAATGGTGAGGGATCAGCAAATACAGTAAATGCAAGAAAATAGAAGGGCATGAGGTTAATGAAACTTACTTGACTCTCAAGTAAAATGAAGGTAACTGCGGCAATGGTGGAAAGCCTTCCCTGCAACAATCAATTCAAAAGTGTCAAACTCAATACATGAAGAGGGAAAAAACAACCAAAATCAGTTATTGGTTTATGCTAAGGAAACAAAATCTCACTGGTGATTGGAAGCAAACAACGAGAACCAAATTGGACGTAATATTCTGTCACATTTATTATTTGCATCAACCAAAGATTGTGCTGGAATATTGAGTCCCTCAGGTACAGCTAGTTTTCTTTTGCGGCCACGTTGTGGTTTCCTAAAACTCCCTGAACCCGATGGAGCAGGATTAGATTGATTCATACTTCCACCGACTTTGGATTTGTTACCATATTCCATAATGGGCTTCACCTCACGTGCTTCGTTGTTGAGCGCATCAGGCAACATTGGTTCGGAAACAGGAAGTTGCAGTAGCAGATTAATCTTATCAGAACTTGATTTTCTTGCCGCTTCAACCAGGCTGTCTAATGGTTTCCAGATCTCAGGTCTCACATCTTCGGGTTGAGAATTGTCCTCCACATCCATGTTAAGCATGTGCTGCTTCAATGATCCCTCAGTAGAGTTCTGCATCAACATAACTCAACATGTTTGAGAGGATAAAAATGGAGAAGCAAATGCATTGAACCGACTATTGTTTTTCCTCTTTTACCTGTCTGGTATATAGTGCATCTTTTTTTAGTGTCTGAGGTGACTTAACTCTCTCATGGAAATCTTCCTCTTTCTTTTCAGGCTCCTGAAATGAAGGATACTCTCGTAGAGGAACTCTCCTTCGTGTAGGATACCTTCTTCGTCCACTCATCTCAGGTCCGCCTGATACTTGAGGTGAATTTATCACCAATGAAGAGAGATATTTCTCTTTTCTTTTAGCTGGGATTGGAGCTGAAGACACAGCAGGTGCCTTAACCTTTTTCCTTTCGGACAGTAGTGGGTCTATCTCTATATCTTGCGCAATGTCATCTGCAGGTGCCTTGGACTTTCTACTTTCGAAAGGAAGCAGCTCTTCTGTTATATCTTGCACATTGAGGTCTGCAAGTGCCTTAACCATTTTTGTTTCGGAAGGAAGGGGCTCCGCCGTTGTATCTTGCACATTGTGGTCAGCAGGTGCATTGACTTTTTCTGTGTCAGGACGGAAGATCTTGCCTGTTATACTATCCCAAAGGGGGTCTGCCCTGCAGACAAGGAAACAAAAAGATTAACGTAAAATAAACACAGATATTAAAAGTAACCTTTCCATATCAGCAATCTAGGAAACCCTCATCAAATGTGAACCTGCTTGCCACTGTATGTTTGCTCATCAAGAAATTTCAAAAAATGGTAACTAAACGTTGAATGTAATGAAAAGTGGAAGTGTAAATAAAAAGAAAACTACACTTTGCATCTGTCCCTTGCTGAATACACAATACCTTCCCAGCACAGCAGTTGGTCTGAACAATTGGTTCTACGCAAAATTATAGTAGTTAAACTGTACGCTTTTCAATTTATCCAGTGTCCAGGGCCTGTACTATTAATTAAACAGTCTGTGCATCAAATCTTTCTTTTTTTGGTAACAAAGTACGCGATCAATAATCCAATTTACAGTATAACCATTCTTCTAGCATGCTATAAAATTAGAACATGAATGAGTAACCGATGTTTAAACATTTATAAACATAGGACTACTATTGATGACCAAATTCAAATACCTGAGTTTTTCCAATGGAGCAACCCCTAAATAAGTATTGCATTTTGGACAGCAGTCCAACTCTTCGTCTACTATCTTTGAGTATATGCACTTCTTGCAAACTGTTCTTGAAACCAAAAGAGACAAGTCACATATTTGACTGATAGAAGAACAATCAATATGCAGCTCAGATGATTATACGAGAGACTGAGGTAAATAAAACACATAATGCAGCTTACTCCATATGATTCAAATAACCATATTATTCAGATGAATTTAGACAGAAATTAAGACGGTATGGGACGAATGAGCGAAGAAAGATAACAAAAAATATGGATTACCAAACAATGTTCCAGTGAAACATAAGAAATAACTGGAGTCTAATATGTGATGGAAAATAGAGATAGTGCTTCTTTGGAAATATAATTGCCAAGTAAATTCGAAAAACTTAGCCGCAACTCTTTGCTATTAGGTCTTGTCTTGTCCAGTGCAGAATAGTGAAACGTGACCAAGATATTAACACTACATAAATTTATAGACCATGCAACCATGAAGTCCAAGTCGTTCATTACACATATGCAAGGAAATAGCAAACAATGATTAGTAGATTGACATATTCCAAAAGGGAGTTGTTATTGACACTCCAAAATGCTCATCATGAACTTATAGACATGCAAGTTTCCTCTTATGTTTTTATAAGATATAACGCATAATGATATTTTTGAAGTGCTAATTACAGTTTCTTCAAAAAAAACTTAGAACCAAAACGCAAATTGAATAAAAACCCTGATCACGAAAACGTAACAAAGAACCCATATCGAGGAAAGGAAGAACTTCAAGAAAGAAACATGAAATCCGATTAAAAAAAAACATAATATTGGATGAAACATGAGGAGGGAGAGAGAGGGTACTGACATGTATGAAGGCATTCACATATGGTAGTGGCCTCGCAGTAGTGCTTCTCGCAGAGTGGACATGTCATGCATGCCTCGATCTCCCTTCTGTTTCTCTTGACCACCTGACCACTCATGTCAACGAACACAAACCAGTGCAGTTCTACTCTCTTTCTTTAACTATTCTGCAACTCACGTACACCTGGTGCATGTCACCTTCAATATTCTTGACCAGAAAAATCAAGAAACAGGAATCATATCACCAAGAAATTGAGCGCGCAAACAAAACCTAGTACGGGGTTTCCTGACTCTGTGTTGGTGAATGATGATAGCTATTAGGACGTGTTTGGTGGCCGAGAAAAAAACAGACGGAAAACACAAAAAACAGAGTGGATAGAAATTTTGGAGTATTCGAAGAGGGTTCTTGTTCGATTTGGACAATGGGATTGGGGTTGGATTGATGATCTGTTCGAGGCACAACAGCTACAATCTCACCTCCTCTCAAAAATCATAAAGCAAAA